TCCTATGCCAAGGTCTTCAAGAGTTCTACCTAACTTATCTTCCAGCAAGTTTAGTGTTTCTGTTTTAATATTTAGATCTTTAATCCACTTCAATTTTAGTTTAGTGCATAGTGAAAGATAGGGGGGTTGATTTCTTGATAATAGACATTCTTTCTGGGGTGAGATGGAATCTCAGTGCTGTTTTATGCTGTATCTTTCAAATGATCAGTGATGTTGAACATTTTTTCATATATTTATTTGCTGTTTGCTTCCTCTGAGAAGTGTTTATTCATTTCAAAGGCCCATTTTTGGATTGGGTCTTTAAATTTGGGGAGGGTGTGAATTTTTTCTAAATATTATTCCTTTGTCTCAGGAGTACCTGGTAAAAAAAATTTTCCCTGTGGGTTGTCTCTTCCCTCTGTTCATACTTTCTTTTGCTGTGCAAAAGCTTTTTAATAAGATGAGATCCCAGTTGTTGTTGTTGGTTTTTTTGGTACCAGGGATTGAATTTGGGACTTTGCACTTGTGAGGCAGGCACTGGAACCACTGAGCTAAATCCCCAGCCCCCCAGTTGTTGATTCTTTGTAATATTTCCTATGTAATTGGCATTTTGTTCATAAAGTCTTTGCCTACACCCCTGTCTTCAAGAGTTTTACCTATTTTATCTTTCAGTAGATTAAATGTTCCTGTTTTAATATTTAGATGTTTGATCCATTTCAATTTTAGTTTAGTGCATGATGAGAGATATGGGTCTAGGTTTAATCTTCAGCATGTAGAAAGGCAATTTTTCCAGCACCATCTATTAAGGAGGCTCTCTTTTATCCAGTGAAAGTGTTTGGCTCCTTTGTTAAAGATAAGGTAGCTTAGGGGCTGGAGATTTAGCTCAGTGGTTCCTCCGCCTGCCTGAAAGTGCAAGGTCTCAAGTTCAATCCCCAGTACCAAAAAAAAAAAAGAAAAGATAAGGTAGCTGAGTGTGCTTGGAGTTTCTGTATCTTCTATTCTGTTCCATTGCCGGATCTGGGTTTTTTTTTTTTGTACCAGTGATGGAACTCGGGACCTTGTGCTTGCGAGGCAGGCACCGGAACCACTGAGCTAAATCCCCGGCCGGATCTGGGTTTTTTTGCCAGTATTATGCTGTTTTTAATCACTGTAGCTTTGTAGTATAACTTCAAATCAGGGATTGTGATGCCCCCTGCACAGCCTTCGTTGCCCAGAATTGCTTTTGCTGTTCTGGATCCATGTGTGTTTATTCTCAAAAAACTTTTGCTTCCTGGGCATGGTGATCCATGCCTGTAATCCCAGCACTTTAGAGGCTGAAGCAGGATTGCCATGAGTTTGAGGTCAGCCTGGTCTACATAGTGAGTTCAAGGCCAGCCTTAACTACATAGTGAGACCCTGTCTCAAAACAAAACAAAACAAAACAATCCATATCTGCCTAACAGCTGGGTATGATGGAATGGAGAGTATGGTTGTGAACAAGTTTCATTCCTGCTCTTCAGAACAGTACTTTATAATCTAATGCAAAGGCAAGTATTTTCTAAAGTAGCCATTGGAGAGGGAGGAGTGAGAAGAGGGAGATTTTGAACATGTCTTCACATACAGCACCCTGCCATCTTGTGGTCGCTTGTGACTCAGCGAAGTGCCTGAGACCTAACCAGAAGTGATGCTCAGCAGCTCCTTCATGGGACCCAGAAGTTCCAAAGCAGTTGGTGAACGACAGTTACAAATAAAGTAGCAACAGAAGGAACATGTACAGCATTGAGTGATGAACTAGGCCCAGGAGATGCTGAAACTCTGTACAAACGATGTCCAGGCACAGGCCTTCCAGTGTCCCCCTGACCACTTGCCTCCCCTTTCCAGCATGCTGGACAGCAGGAAGCAGCCTCCCTGGAGCAGTAACCTCGCAGGTGACCAGCTGTGGCAGCAGCTCTCACAGCTCCAGGATCAGCTGGATGCTGAGCTGGAGGAGAAAAGAAAAATCTTGCTTCAGCTGTCCACAGAGAAAGGTAGGTCAGGAGTGAAAGAGCTCTCTCAAACGGGGCAGCCTCTGTATCTGGTTGGGTGAAGGGAACTTGGGCCTTTCATTTCTCCACTACCTCATCCTATTCCTTTTCTTTTCTTTTCTTTTCTTTTCTTTTTTTTTTTTTTTTTACCGAGGATCGAACTTGGGACCTTGCGCTTTAGAGGCAGATGCCAGAACCACTGAGCTAAATCCCCGGCCCCTCATCCTATTCCTTTGTGGTGATTTACAGTCAGGAAGACATGACAACTACCTCCCTCGTGTATATACTCTTTCTTATGTTATGTCTTACCAATGTTTATTGTTTTCAAATATTACTTTGTTGTTTGAAAGTATTAAAAATGAGTTTTTCTATCTTTGGCCATTTTCATCAATAATTTCAGAGGTGAATGGGAGAGAGTGGGGTTTTGTTAGCATCTGACATCTGAAATCGAGAAACAACTTACTACTCTTGGTTACTACTACCATTTAATCCCATTTTAACTTTTGGATCATAGGCGATATATACTCTGAAGATTTTATTTTATTTATTTATTTTTTAAAAATTGTTTTTGGGAGGGCGGGGGATTTAGCTCAGTGGTTTCGCCACCTGCTGTGCAAGCACAAGGACCTGAGTTCAATCCCTGGTACCAAAAAAAAAATTATTTTTGGTACTGGGAATTAAACTCAGGGCCTCAAGCTTGCCAGGCAGGTGCTGTGCTGCTGAGCTACATCCCCAGCCCTACTCTGAAGATTTTTAAAACACTGTCAGAAAGACCTACATCTCACTTTTTCTTATCCTGGACCTTGTTGTTAGACTTATCAAATTTATACCTTATCAGATTCTAGTATATTTAAATATACTTAAATATGAGAGTGAAGGAAAAGAATTTTGTGTGTGTGTGTGCTACTGGGGATTGAACCCAGGACCTTGTGCATGCTGAGCAAGTTCTCTGTCACTGAGCTACAACCTCAGCCCAAAGGAAAAGAAATATGAGACAAGAGTGATAGAGGCAGGGCTGGACATGGTGACACATGCTTATGATCCTAGCACTCAAAAGCCAGGCCTGGTGGTGCACGCCTGTAATCCCAGAACATGGGAGGCTGAGGCAGGAGGATCACTGAGTTCAAGGCCAGCCTGGACTGCATAGTGAGAGTTTGTCTCAAAAAACAAAACAAAGCAAACAAAAAAGAGTGACAGAGGAATCATAAAAAGATTTTTTAAAGTAAAAAAAAATCTATTAGTACATGTTTACAGCACATGGTGATTATATTCGTCATGGGGAGGTGGTACATGTACATCTTAATTCTTCTTCCACCTCCTTTGCCTCCCCACTCTCTCCCCTCCCTTCATCTTTAGATCCCTTTCCCATTTGTAAAAGGCCCATGATTCCTATTATCTATCGTTTACTTTGCTCTTAATTTATTTATACTTTGGATTTCTTATGTAAGAGAAACCATATGATATTTAAGCTTGTGTGTCTGATTTATTTTACTTAATATTAGGATGTCAAGGTGCATCCATCTTCCTACAATGATTCTCACATTTACTCTTCTCTATGGCACAGTACTACTCCATTGTATATGAATACTACCTTCATGCATTCATCTACTAATGGACATGTTGGCTTCTTCCAAGATTTATCTATTATGAATTGTGCTGCTCTAAACATGGGTATGCATGTATTACTGTGATATGATGTCTTTAGTTCTTTCAGGAAGAATCTTAAAAGGGAAATAGCTGGGTTGAATTGAATTTCTATTTTTAGTTTTTTTGTGGAATCTCCATGCTGATTTCCATAGTGGTTGTAGTATAGTTTACATTCCAACCAGCAGTGTAGAAGCAGGAACTATGAAAAGATTGAGCATAGGCCAAGCACCCTGTGGTGGGTATGAAGTACTAGTGAAGTCTAGCGAAGACGTTAGGGCAATCTCACTCAAGCCTTCTCTAGTGCGCATGATTAGTCACCTCCCTCCAGGTCAGGGTGGCTGCACAGATGGGTGCCACAGAGAGCCAGGACCGTCAAGGTCAGCATTGAGTGGGGGTACCATCAGGGAGATGGGTTTGGGGGGTGCTGGGAAAACAGCAAGATTTTGTTTTTATTTTGTTGGTTTTCCCATTTCTACTCTACAGTTCTGCAGATGTTGTTGTTTGTTTTGCTTTTAAGGTGCAAATGTCACCTCAGTTTACTGGGTCAACAAATCAGAGGCCTTTTGTAGAAATGAGGGAATCGCTTCTCTTATGGAAAATTTGTAAAACAAAAAGAATGTAAGTGAGAAAAGTTAATTCACACTTGATCCAACTCTATGATTACTGATAACTGTAGAGTTTCAACTTTCTGGATGTTTTTAAAGTTTTTATTTTATTAGTACATGATTGTAATTCATGTAGTTTACATCATCTTGGGCAGTGGGTACCTGTACCTACAACAGCTTGTTTCCTTTTTAATCTCCTTCCCCTTCCCTCTCTTTCCCTCCTTCTTCCTCCAATTCCCCTATCCCATTTTTCATTCTTGTTAATATTATTAACCTTAGCACATGTAATGGCATATGTTTACATTCATTGAGGTTAATAGGTTCCTGTACATGGCATATCTTTATTCTACTTATTTCCCCTTCCTTGCCTCCTCACCCCTCATGCTTTTTCCCTTAGACTCCTTTCCTATTGCAAGAGATCTATCTCCCTGGCCCCTTATATCCATCTTTACTATTCTCTTTGTACTTTGCCTCACTCAAATGAGAGATACTATATGGTATTTAAGCTTGTGTGTCTGATTTATTTCACTCACCATTCTGTTTTTCAGGTGCGTCCATTTTCCTACAAACATCTCAAATTTGTCATTCTTTATAGCAGAGTAGTATTTCATTTTATATAGATACCACATTTTATTTATCCAATCATCTGTTGATGGGTATACAGGCTATTTCCAGGATTTAGCTATTATGAGTTGTGCTGCTATAAATATTGCTATGCATGTATCACTGTAGTATGATATTTTAAGCTCTTTGAGAATCGCTGGGTCACATGGAATTTCTAATTTCAGTTCTTTCAGAAATCTCCATACTGATTTCCATAACGGTTTGAGCAGTTCACATTCCCGACAACAATGAAGGAGGGTTCCTTTTTCGCCACAGCCTTGCTAGCATTTGTTATTGTTTGATTTCTAAATGATTCCCATTCCTTCTGGAGTAAGATGGAATCTTAGCATTGTTTTATATATATATATATTTATTTATTTATTTATTTGGCTTGAAACAAGAGAAGTTTATTGTCTCCGGGTTCTTTTTTTTATTTTAATTTTTTATCGGTACATTTTAGATATACATATTGGTAGCATTCATCATAGAGAATTCGTAACTGTACATAATACATCTTGTTTCTTCTTTTCTTCCCCCATGTATGATGTTGGCTATTGGTTTGTCATAGATAGCTTTTGTTAGATTGAGATGAAGACCATCTATTCCAATTTTCTGTAGAGTTTTTATCATGAATGGGTATTGGACTTGTAAACACTTTTTAATCTACTGAAGTGATCATATGGTTTTTGTCCTTGGCTCTGTTAATATGGTATAATAAATTGATTAATTTTGCCTATGTTGAGCCATCCCTTCATCCCTTGGATGAATCCTACTTGGTCATGGTGTATAATCTTGTTGATTTGCTGCATTCTGTTTGCCAGTATCTTATTGAGGATTTTTGTATCTATGTTCATTTGAGACATTGGCCTATAGTTCTCTTTTCTGTTTGGATCTTTCTCTGGTTTTGATATCAGGGTAATACTTGCTTCCAGAAATGAATTTGGAAGTGTTGCTTCCCTTTCAATTTTATAAAAGAGTTTGAGAAGTAGTGGCATGAGGTCTTATCTAAATTTCTTGTAGAATTTAGCAGTGAATCCATCAAGGCATGGCTTTTCTTTGTTGGTAGGTTTTTAATTACATCTTTTTGGGGGGGGGGTACTGGGGATCAAACTCGGGACCTTGTGCTTGCAAGGCAGGCGCTGGAACCACTGAGCTAAATCCCCAGCCCAATTACATCTTTAATTTCATTGATATTGGTTTATTTAGAATTTTTATATCTTCTTGATTCAGCTTTGGTAATTCATATTTGTCTAGAAATCTGTCCATTTTTTTCTGTGTTTTCCGTTTAATTAGAATACAGGTTCTTTTTTTTTTTTTTTTGGTACCAGGGATCGAACTCGGGTCCTTGTGCTTGCCCAGCAGGCAGCGAAACCACTGAGCTAAATCCCCAGCCCGAATACAGGTTCTTGAAGTAGGTATTGATGATCTTCTGGATCTCTGCAGGGTCTGTTGTGATTTCATCCTTTTTATTCCTAATACATGGATTTGAGTCTTTTCTTTCCTTTTTTTGATAAGATTGGAAAAAGGTTTGTCAATTTTATTTAATCTTTCAAAGAACCTACTCTTTGATTCATTGATTCTTTGTATTGTTTTCTTAATCTCAATTCCATTAATTTCTGCTCTGATATTTATAATTTCCTCCCTTGTATAGCTTTAGGCTTGACTTGCTCTGCTTTTAGAAGCTTGAGGTTCAACACTAGGTTGTTTATTTGACCTCACTCTGTTTTTCTGATATGGGAATTCACCACTATAAATTTCCCTTGTAGGACTGCTTTAATTGTGTTCCATAAGTCCCAGTGTACTGTATTGACATTATCATTTAATTGTAGAAACTAACTTCTTCGTTAATTTCATCTGTGACCCATTGATTGTTCAGGAGAGTATTATTGAACTTCCATGTGTTTATGAAGTTTTTGTGGTTTCTTTTGCCATTGATTTCCAATTTCATTGCACTATGACCTGATAAGAATATGGGATAATTTCAATTCCTTTGCATTTCCTTAAGCATGTTCTATGAGCTAATATGTGGTCTACTTTTTGTGTGTGTGTATGTGGTACTGGGGATCGAGCTCAGGACCTTATGCTTGTGAGGTAGGCGCAGTGCCACTGAGCTAAATCCCTGGCCCTTTCTTATTATTTATTTATTTATTTTTAAATATGTGATCTATTTTGGAGACTATCCCATGTGCAGCTGAGAAGGATGTGTATTTTGATGTTGTGAGGTGGAGCACTTTGTAGACATCTACTAAGTCCATTTGTTCAAGTTTGGTTCACCTCTGATTTTTCTTTCTTTCTTTTTTTTTTTTTTTAAATAGAAGCATGGTGAAAGTTTTATTTTACATATGTCCACAAATGGTTGTACAAGAGAGAAACAGTGACTACTTCTAAAACTTACAGCATTTTTTCACAGTGCAGAGAGATAGAAAGGTTAATGACACGCTTAAATGTGTTACAGTCACTTGAGGTGAAGCCCTAAAGATAACACGAGGGTGGGGGTGGCACACGTCGGTCCCCAACAGCAACTGTAAGGTCTGGGTGCACACACCTGCACAGGGACTGGGACCTGCAGAGGTCAACCAGCGCAGCCACCACAGAAGGCAGTGGAAAAGGACGTGCAGGGCCTGTTTCAGACACCCAGCCACCATCAGATGACTTATTCAAAACAAAAACTGAGCTTGATTACCATGGAGCAAAAGCTGTTCCGAATTTTACCTGTAAGCTCTTACAGTGAAATAAAGCCTTACTCTTCAGCAAATCTTAAGCCAGTGTTTTACTTAGATGGTTCATAAATAAAATTACTGACTTCTGCCCTTAGTGCTAACATATGAAAAGTCAGTTCCTTTCCTTGTAGAGTCTATTTGATAGCAGAGCTTGGACCAGCCAACACTTGTCTGTCAGCTCCTGGCTACATGCAGCCGACAGAATCATTCACTGTGGAATGTTTTACAAACCTATTGGTATCCCAGGGAGGCAGAGAGGCAAACTTACAGGTGCAAAGTTGAAGGGAGAGTGAAGGTACCAAGAGCTGTCGGAAGAGCAGGTCATAAGGCAGACATATATGAAAGCCAAAACAAATCAGACTGCTTCGCACACTTATTCACATGAACACTTAAAAAGCAGAATTTATACAATGGCTTTTCCATTCCTACAGAAAACATCAGAACTGACATTCAGTTTAACTTTTAAAATGTTTAACCCAAATGGCAGGGTTGATGTTTAAAACTTAAAACAGTATAAAATATTTACGAAACATTATTTTGTAAGCTCCCTTTCCTTAGCACTTAATAGAATCCAAATAGCCTCATATAAAAGTTTCCCACACAACAGTTTAAAAAGCATCTACCCAATACATCGTTTTTAGGTTCAGTCTTGATTGTTTTAAAGTTTTAAATATTGTAGGCTTTGCTACTGGATACAAAAGAAAGGCAGACAACTGTCACAGGTACAAAGTCTAAGCTGTAAAAACTGTTGCAAAATAGAAACTTGTTTTGTAATACAAGTGTCAAAGGCTGTCTATGTTAATACCTTTGGTATGAAACAGTAATGATTCCTTGCTAAGCAAACAAAACCTATCCATTACCTGCCACATATTCTCATCTCCTTGTAGCTACTCTACCTAGTCTAGTCTCACCACCCACATCAGTCATCATTCATTTCTGTTCCTGTGCAGGTGCAGAGGAAGCTGGGAGGTAGGTAACTGAGAATGTCTGTCCTAATGAGCACCGTGCACAGCAGGCTCTGGCTCGGGCCACCTGTGCCCCACAAACACACATTCTCACTAAAAGTTGCACATATTCCCTAGACAAACATGAACACGGACACAAACTGGACCCAAAGGTATCTGCACATCCTCTCAACCTGTTCACTGATGGCCACTATTCTGCATAGAAATCAGAGACAAAGCCAAGAAGGGATCTCCAGGTGACCGTTCTGTTACATCAGGGAAGCCACCTGAGACAGGCAAGCTCCCTTGGGCTGGCGGTATGAGGGGTGTCTGGCTGGGAGGACAGAGTCTGGGGCCACACTGAAGTCCTGATGAAAGGTCAAGGCACCCACCTGCTGAAGCAAGCTCAAGGTAATGGGGGAGAAGGCCAGGCAGAAAGAGTGGAAGCTCCGGAGTGGCAGAGTGTGAGTTTCACCTGCAGCAGGGTCGGGTGGCCTTCCTGGAATGGAGTGAGTCAACAGGAACACCAAGTGGAAGAGGCAGGAGCTGGGAAGGGAGCTGGGCACTCATTGCCTGGAAAAGCTCCACTGCTTGCCAGGCATGGTACACTCCCAGCAAGCACCAGATTAAAGATCAGCCAAGGCAGCAAAGGTTTTATACCCAAAGATGTACTAAAATAAACACATTAGAAGCAATGATGCTCGTTAGGTCTCATTTTCATGCCCACAAGCTGAAACTATTTATCAATAAGCTCTAGGCACAGAACCACATTGCAGAATGGATTCCCAGGAAAGCCATGGAAACTGTGCCCAGTCGGAAGGCACAGGAACCAGGACCCAGTCAGCTGAGGCTAGAGGGTTGGGAATCTTTTTTGATTCTTTGTCTAGCCAATCTGTCTGTTTATGACAGTGGGGTATTGAGGTCCCCCATTACAACTGTATTTGTGCTTATTTGACTTTTCATGTTTGCTAATATTTGTTTTATATAGTTGGGTGCACTGATATTTGGTGCATATATATTTATGACTGTTATCTTCCTCTTGGATTGTTCCCTTTACAAGGACATACTGACCTTCTTTGTCTCTTCTGATAAGACTTGGCTTGAGATCCACTTTGTCTGCAAAGAGAATAGCTACTCTACTTTTTTCTGGGTTCCTGTCACATGGAATATTGTTTTCTATCCTTTGACTTATATGTGGTTCTTGTGTGCAGCATATTGTTGGATCTTGCTTCTTGATCCATTCTGCCAGTTTGTTTCTTTTGATTAATGAATTGAGACCATTTATGTTGATTGTTATACCTGATATGTATTGACTTATCCCTGTCATATTATTTTCCTATTGTTGGTTTCCTTCCCCCCTCCCTGTTTAATTACTTGCTTTGTCTGGTGGATTCATTCTATTGGGGTTCATGGAGTTGTAGTCCTTATTGCCTCTTTCTAGGATATCCTTTTTTTTTTTTTTTGGTACTGGGGATAAAACTCGGGTCCTTGAACTTGCAAGGCAGGGGATGGAACCACTGTGCAAATCCCCAGCTAGAATATCCTTTAGAACACTTTGGAGTGCTAGTTTGGTAGTCATGAATTTCTTCAGGTGTTCTTTGTCATGGAAGTATCTTATTTTGTCATCAATTTTGAAAGATAGTTTTGCAGGGTACATCAATATGGGCTGAAGATTGTTTTCTTTTAGGGGTTGAAATACTTTACTCCAAGCTCTCCTTGATTTGAGGGTTTGTGTCGAGAAATCTCCTGTGATTCTGATAACCTTTCCTTTATAGGTGATTTGTTTCTTTTCTTTAACAGCTTTTATTCTGTTCATTTGTTCAATTTCTGGAATCTTAGGTGTTATATACCTTGGTGTAGTTTTTTTTTTTATCATGGCTAATTGGAGTTCTATATGTCTCACTTATCACTATATCAAATTCTTTTTCCATGCTTGGGAAGTTTTCTTCCTTTACTTCAGTGAATAGGCTTTTTACGTCGTTTGTGCAATCTTCTGGTTTTTTTCATCGACTTTGATCAATCTTATGTTATTCTTCTTTGCATCGTGGTCTTTTTCTTTTTCTTTTTCTTTTTCTTTTTCTTTTTCTTTTTTCTTTTTGGTTATGGGAATCAAACTTGGGAACTTGCACTTGCGAGGCAGGTGCCAGAACCACTGAGCTAAATCTCCGGCCTCTTTTGCTATTTTTAAGCAATCTTTCTTTTCATGATCACTAGCCACAATCCTGTCTTCTATACCTGATATTCTGTCCTCATACTGGCTCTTTCTGCCGTGTATATTTTCAGTGGAATTTTTAATCTCCTGGATATCTGTTTGAATCTCTTTCATGGATTCCATTTCTTTCTTTCTTTTTGGTAATGGGGATCAAACTCGGGTCCTTGTGTTTGCAAGGCAGGTGGCGGAACCACTGAGCTAAATCCCCGGCCCCTCCATTTCTTTCTTATTCTGGTCATGGTTTCCTCATTTTCCTAAGCTCCTTTCTTTTCTTTTTTTTTTTAAATCTGTATCTGCTCTGGAGTCATTAACTGTGTTTTCTTTATGGTCACCATCTCTGTAGTTATTTGAGAAATTATTTCCGATTTTTTTTTCCTAGAGCCTCATTCATCTTCTTTGTTACTTTCACTGTTACCACTTCAGAGACTCCAGGTGGGTGGCTTTTGAATTGTTCTGCCTCATTGTCCTGTGGGTTTGCCTTTGGTGAGCTGGAAGTCTACGCTTGCATCTTAAGTGTCTTCTTGTTTTCTAATCTTTTTTTTTTAAGTTTAATTCCTAGGTTAATGCTTGTAAATTGCTGATACCAGGTAGCTTTATTGTTAGTATTGAGAACCCTTAAGAAATGACTACTTCTCAGAGATTTCTTCCAGATTCAGCTGGCTTTCTGTTGTAGATTCTACCTCTTCAATTTATTGGGGATGAGAAGTTGCTGCCTATTTGGCCTAGCCCCTAGTTCTTTGGTACTGGCCTTTAGTATTGTTTGTGACCCTTAAGCAATCTCATTCTTTGCATACCAGAAAGAATAATCAATTAGCACAATTATTTCACCTTGGCTAAAGTAGTACAATCAGAAATAACAATAGCATCAGACAGTATAGAAAATGAAAAGCTGTGATAAATATTAATTTGTCACCTTTATCCATATGAACTATATTTATGGCTATATAACAAAATCTAAAATGAACCAGAAATTTGTATATAGCAAATATGCCCTCAATATGGTGATTTTACCCTCAGGGGAGAAAATTTAAAAGGGATTAGGAGGAGAAATAGAGAAATAGAAGAAGAGATTAGAAGCAAGATTGGAGGACAAAGGAAGATTATGTGAACATTGTGAAACTGGTAAAGAAGACAGCAGGAAAAGAGAAAAGGAAAAAATAAAAACAAAAACAGAACAGAACAACAACAAAAAACTAGGGAACAATATTCACAGTCATATAAAAACAAAAAGAAACAATAAAAAGGAAAAGAAAAGAAAACAAAAACAAGAACAAAAAAACAAGAAAAGAAAAAAGCAAAGAAGAAAAAACATGTCCTCTTCAGAATGTGTCTCTGCTCTCATTGGTAGACAGAGTTGTCAAACAGAGCCCAGATCTGTGTTGATTAGTCACTACAAGCCAGATTTACAGTGGGGTAGTGAATAATCCCAACAAGTCTGTACTTTTAGTTCCACGGAAGTTCAGGCTGGCTTCTGTCTGCGAGTCTGGAACCCAATTTGTTCAGCCTACAACACTCCATGTGCCTCCTGCCAGCTTGAACTCGGCTCCCTGCTAGTTTGAACTCCTCTCCTTAACCTCCTGCTGACTTGAACTTGGTTCCTCCTCACCTGACACTGGGAGCTGATAGATAGAGCCCACAGTTGCTCTGAGTTCCAAACTCAGTTGGTCCTTCTCCAAGATGACTACAGGCCAATTGCCCTCTCTTGGGGGGCATCTGAACCCAAATAACTCACCAGCCACTGGAGTCTACTGTGTCCGCTGCTCAGTTCCACTGGTGTCTTTCTCCATGGAGGCCTCTGGCATCACAGTGCAGTGTGTCTGCAGGTTTGAGCCACCCTCCCATGCAGTGAGTCAGGGCTCATGGAGAAGACGCCCTTGGCCACCTCTTTCTTCTGCTGTCTCGCTTCACTCTCCCTGTGGGTTTCAATTCTCAATTCAGATCTTTACAAGGGCCGGAGATTTAGCACAGTGGCATCGTGCCCACCTTGCAAGCATAAAGTCCTGAATTTGATACTTGGTACCAGAAAAAAAAAAAAAGGAAAAGAACAGATTTTTACTGGGTCTTGGGAACCCGCTTCCCTCCTTCTCTTCTTCACTTTACTATATGCCAGTGTCTGGACATCAAATCTTTTTTTTTTTTCTGGTACTGGGGATTGAACTGGGGTCCTTGCGCTTACACGGTAGGTGGCGAAAGCACTGAGCTAAATCCCTGGCCCCAGGACATCAAATCTTAAGAGAGGGTGTTTCTCTGCTCTTCATCACTCTGCCATCTTCCTGGAAGTCAGCATTGTTTTATTTGTATTTCTCTAATGGCCAGAGATATTAGTATTTTTTTCATATATTTGTTGACCATTTGTATTTCTTCTTCTATGAAGTGTCTGTTCACTTCTTGTGCCCATTTCTTGACTGGATCTTTAATTTTAGGTGGTTTAATTTTTTTGAGTTCTTCATATATTCTAGATACTAGTTCTCTGAGGAGGTGTAGCTGGCAAAATTTTTTTCTAATTCTATAGATTGTCTCTTCATTCTACTGATAGATTCTTTTGCTGTATAGAAGCTTTTCAGTCTAATATAATTCCATTTGTTGATTCTTGATACTATTTCTTATGTGATTAAGCACACAAATCTTTTCCTACACCTGTGTTTTCAAGTGTTTTACCTATTTTATCTTCGGTAGGTTTTATGTTTCTGTTTCATTGTTTAGATCTTTGATCCATTTTATTTTAATTTAGTATATGTTAAGAGATAAGGGTCCATTTTCAATTTTCTGTACACACATAACCAGTCTTCCCATCACCACTTGTTGAATAAGCTATCTTTTCTCCGGCATATACTTTTGGCCCCTTTGTCGAAGATTAAATAGCTGAATGTATGTGGGAAAGTTTCTGTGTCCTCAATTCTGTTCCATTGATCCATTTTTCTGTTTTTGTTCCAGTACCATGCCATTTTTATCACTATTGCTTTGTAGTATAGCTTCGAGTTAGGTATTGCTGTGCCTCTTGTTTTGTTCTTTTTGCCCAAAATTGCTTTTGCTACTCTGAATCTCCTCTGATTCCACATGAATTTTAGTATTGTTTTGTCTAGATCTTTATTTTGATTGAGACTGCATCAAATCCGTATGACAGTTTTGGGAGTATGACCATTTTGACAATATTGATTCTGCCTATCCAGAAACAGGAGACATCTTTCGATTTTCTGATGTCCTCTTCAATCTCCTTTTTCAGAGTCCTGTAGTTTTCTTTGTAGAAGTCTTTTACTTCTTTGGTGAGATTAATTCCTAGGTATTTTATTTTTCTTGAAGCTACTCTGTATGGTATTATTTTCATATCTCCCTCTCATCCTCTTCATTGTTTGTGTACACAAATGCTAAAGATTTTTGTGTTTTGACCTTGTATCCTGCTACATTTCTGAAGTTTATTATTCTAAGAGTTTTTTGGTGGAGTTCTTTGGGTCTTCTATGTAGAGCACCATATCATCTGCAAATAGTGATAATTTGAGTTCTTTCTTTCCTATGTCTGGATTATTTTTTCCCCAGCTCAAAATGAGGATCTGAAGCTTGAAGTCACCAACATCGTTCAAAAGCATAAACAAGAGATAGAAATGTTCCAGAAGGCAGCCACCACAGCCCAGTCTCCTAGACTGTCTGAACTGGCCCCACTCCAAGCCCCATTCCTAGAGACAGCTCAGATAGAGGTAAGAATGAGTCCACTACAACGAGGTCTCTGGCAGGTGTCACTAGGAAAGACAAAGAGATTGTAAGACTGAGTGATCATTTGTCCCGATAGCACCATATCTGCAAGGATATGAGAAGGCTGGGAGTAGAGAGTTTCATGAGCTCCACCCACATTTCTCACTCTTACAGCACATACATTGTAGATTCTTTTTCAGGTGAGGACTAATCTGCTGATGAGCAAACTTCATTAAAAGCTGTGTAGCCTCCCCACACTGCTGCCATGGGATGTAAGGCCTGGGGAACAAAGTGCTTGTAACATAATATAAATCCTCTTATGCTGTGGAATAAATTCTCCTGCTGGCATTTTACTGCTTTATGGAGAATTTTATTTATGTATTACTGTACCTGTCATAATTGTTTTGTTTTGTCTTGTTTTGGGAGATCAAATCTAAGGGCACTCTACCACTGAACTACATCCTCAGCTTTTTATATTTTGAGACATCATCTCCCTAAGTTTCTCAGGTGGGATTTCAACTTGGATCCTCCTGCCTCAGCCTCCTGAATAGCTGAGCTCACAGACATTTGCCACCACATCTAGCTATCATTTTTATTTTCTATCTTACCAGTGCTTTTCCCTCTATAGCCTAGTGAACCAAAAGTCCAAGAAGAGAAGAAACTGTCCCAGATGCTGAGTGAGCTGCGAGTATCACATGCAGAAACCACCCTGGAACTGGAAAAGACCCGAGACATGCTTCTTCTGCAGCACCAGATCAACATGTGCTATCAGGTGCAAGAAAGGATGGGGATAGATAACAGGGCCACTCTCAGGACTGGGAAGCAAGCAAGATCTGAGTTTCCGGGCTGATGCCAGGTGATGTGCCATCCTGTGCAGACACAGAATGTGCTGTCCTTGGGTGAACTTGAGGACTCACAGCTGCCACAGCACCTTGGCATAGAATCTGGGAAAGGGCCAGCTGATGAAATGGCGAGTGTGAAGCTCCTGGGTTCAGATTTCCCCAGTCTTAGAGAAACTGTCGTCCAAAGCACCAATGGTGCATCCTGCCCTGGAGGGGTTCGTGTGGAATCTTTTTTTGCTAAGGAGATGGCAGAGTCTTCTTTACCCACCAAGTGCCACCCATTTATCTTGGATGTTTGATCCTGGGTCCCAGAGAGAGAAAAGTTTAGGCATTATTTTTGTTTCAGGAGGAACTGGAAGCAATGATGACAAAAGCTGATAGTGAAAGTAAAGATCACAGAGAAAAACTGGAGAGGTTGAGTCAACTTCTAGACCTCAAGAACAACCGAATTAAGCAGCTGGAAGGTATTTTAAGGAGCCATGGACTTCCAACATCTGGCAAGTCTTAGTACCTTGTTCTCATCCCTGGCCATCTGCACATTGATGCCACATTCCCTGTGTCACTTTCTGGAGGGCTTACAGATGAGCACGTGCCTCTTCCCTCCTGCTCTGCATTCTGTCATCTTTGTTGTTTTGACACACAAGTAGCAGCTGCTTTCCCTCCACTGTGCCACTGCGCCACTATGTCTGTCTTTCTCTGATTTCTCTGGAGAAATCAGCCCAGCAATTGCTTCAAATGAGATTCGAAAGCAGAAGTGTCACTTTTTCTATCTCTGTCTCTCTCTCCCTACCATTTCTTCAATACAAGACTATAAAGCAATTTTTGTCAGGTAATAGACCTTCATCACTCATTTCCATCATATTTTTCTGTGATTTCTCTCTGAAATTTTTGTCATAATTTGAGGATATCAACAGTAACAGACCAGTTGTCACTTAATGCAAGTTTTATATTGTGGTACTTCCTATTCTTAGTATAATTACTGCTGTCCAGGATCTGGTATCAGCCTTGCATGTCAAGAAACTAGTCTGTTGTTATACTCAGTGGTGAGAGACCTGACTCACCAACCAAATTTGCCAGAGACTGATATTTAAACCAGAATGTAAGCCACAATAGCAGCTCTTCCATTGCTCCCATCAGTATACTGAAGTCACGTTCAGGGCATCTTCTTTCTGGCATGAGATTGAGTAATAAGCAAGTTACTTAGTAAGCATACACTCAGGGTAAAGGAAAATGTCATTCTGGGGCATATATGTCTATGCCAGTGGGAACCCGATCAAAGGTCACTGCCAGGTAACAAGGGAAATCCCAAGGCCTGTATGCTATAATCCCAGCATTCAGGAGGTTGAAGCAGGAGGATCTCTGTGAGTTTTGAGACCCTGTCTCAAAAAAACCAAACCAAACCAAACCCACCAAATAAAATCCCCCTTTGGACTGAAATTCTCATGTCTTTCAGATTCAGGGACTTCTCTCACGAGAGTGCAGGATAAATATTCTTACTTGCTAGGAAGATTCCTTGGCTTTAACTTATAGTTCTTTAGATACTGCTAAAAATAAAGAGTTTTCATTTTGTTGTTGTTGTTTTCTTTTATTTTTTTAAGCAAGGTCTCTCTGTAGTCCAGGCTGGGTTTGAACTCAAAATGTAGCCCAGGCTGGCCTTGAACTCACAGCAATACTCCTACCTCAGCCACACAAATGCTGGGATTACAGGTGTGTGCCACCACACCTGGCTAAGAGTTTTTCATTTGTTTACAAATTATTTGTATTATTTCATATTCCTGTCCTTTGCTCATTTCTTAATGGTATCTTACTGATTTGCATGTAGTTCTTTATATGATAGGACTATAAGCCTTGTGTCGTATAATGCAAAAATGTGAATATATTTCATTACATTAATCTAATCAATTAAGAGCTCATTAACCAAGTTTAGTCAATAGTCAATCTCTGTATTTATTTTATTTTATTTTATTTTTGAGACAGAGTCTTGCTATGTAGTTCAGATTGGTCTTGAACTCACTATGTAGTTCAGGCTGGCTTCTAACTCCCTTCGATCCTCCTGCCTCAGCCTCCCATATGCTAGGATTATAAGTATGCAACACCATGCCCTACTGTATTCCATATTTTAATGAGAGGACATTCTTATGTATCCAGAACATTTTATTCAACTGATTTAACTCTTTTTTTTTTTTTTGGTACTGGGGATCAAACTCGGGTCCTTCTGCTTTCGAGGAAGGCGGCAGAACCACTGAGCTAAATTCCCAGCCCCGAAACTGATTTAACTCTTAAATAAGCTATTCATCATCTACTCACTGTGATGACTCACATATTCCCTAATGTGAAATAGACTATAAAAGTTTCCGGTTGGTAGACCCAGGCATGGTAGCATACACCTGTAATCCCAGCACTCAGGAGGCTGAGGCAGGAGGATCATACTGTGTTGGAGGCCAGCCTGGGCTACATAGTCAGTTTGAGGATAGGCTGAACTGCATAGTGAGACCCTGTGTCAATAAATAAATAAATAAATCTCCAGTTGGTTGCACACAGACATAATGCCCAGATGTGGTACTTTTGACATATCTTTATATCCCACCAACAGTATTTTCAGCCTCTTCCCAGTAACTCTCTTCTACTCAAAGTGGACTTTTCTTTTTGCCTTTGTATGACAAACCAGTTATATTAGTGGAGCCCAGTATAATTTAATAGACATTGTGCCTGTAACTTACTGTTCTCTCCATAGCCAACATACCATACTTTTGGAAGTATTCACATTTTATGTTTCTAGTGCTTCTCTTACGAAAACACTGCTTAGCTGATGGGGCCTTGCTATAAGCCAGTACAGTCTCATCTGTGGATGCAGTGTGTTCCCTGTGTTCCATGTTTGTTTCCGAGTCACCCTTCTGTACCTCCTGTCTGAAATAGGCATTGGATTATTTGGCCAACAGAATTCAAATCTTCAGTTATCATTCTGTTGCTTTTCTTTTTGAATCGCATAATCTCCACTGGGCCTCCCACCATGTGTCTCTCTCCTCTACCTGTCTTTCACTAACCTAAAGAAGTGCTCCCTACTCTTTAATGCATCGGCAGTTTCTTTCACCTCTAGAACAGCTCAAAGACGTTGCTTATGGCACCCAACCGCTGTCATTATGTCTCGAAACACTTCCAGCCCACGGAGATGAGGATGGGGTGGACATTTCTCTGCTGCATCAGAGTGAGAATCTTTTTGAACTGCACATCCACCAGGCTTTCCTGACATCTGCTGCCCTGGTGCAGGCTGGAGATACCCAACCCACCACTTTCTGCACCTATGCTTTCTATGATTTTGAAACCCACTGCACCCCACTGTCAGTGGGGCCACAGCCCCTCTATGACTTCACCTCCCAGTATGTGGTGGAGACCAGTTCCCTTTTCTTGCACTATCTTCAAGGGGCTTCTGCCCAGCTTGATTTACACCAGGCTGTGGCCAGTGAGCACCAGACCCTTGCAGCTGCATGGATTTGCTTTGACAAGGTGCTAGAGACTGTGGAGAAAGTCCATGGCTCGGCCATGCTTACTGGTAAGTGCTGCCCGCTTCCTGCAGCTCGTAGGACCATTGCAGGATTTCCCAAAGCCTGTAGTTGCTCTGCTTGTGGCTTCTGATTTTTACTCTCTGCCTTTGCTGCACCATCTCTATAGTCTCCATGCCTTTCACTTTCTGCTACCCAGGAGCTGGTGGAGAAGACTTTGGTGTGCTAGAGTACTGGGTGAGACTGCGCCTGCCTCTCAGAGTCAGCCTACAGGCATGCAGGAAGCAGAAGAAAGCCCAGGCTTACCTGTCAGCCAGCGTGCATGGAGCCAGGGAGGCCCAGAAGGATGAGGTGAGGGAAGGATGTGCCTGAGCATCTCCAAGGAGCCACAGCCAGATGGCCCTGAGAACAGCTCAGTCTTCAGTCTCAATGTGTGTTTGCTGAATATGAATGAAAGAGAAAAGCTTCCATATAAAAACTAGCCCAGGTTCTTCCTGTGGTCATGGTTGAGTCCAAAATGAAATCCTGCCCTTGGAGCTTCGACCTCTCCTTGCTGTGCACAAAACAGCTTTTCTGTGCCATTCCCTGGGGTTGGGCCTGAGGACGAGCATCTCCCTCAAGTAACTACTGGAGCCAGGCCAGGCAGGTGAAAGCCTGAGGTTTCTGTATAGCCAGATCAGGATAGCAGCTTGCTAGGCCGTGGCTCTCCCTCATTCAAGCTTGGGGCTTTACCACCAGCAGCACCCTCAGTTTGAGGCCAACCTCTTTCCAGTCCAGATCTGACACACGGAACCCTCAGAATGAGCTTCGGATTGAAATCACCAGATGCTGTGGCCTCCGGAGTCGACGGCTGGGAACTCAGCCCAGCCCCTATGCTGTGTACCGCTTCTTCACCTTTTCTGACCACGACACTACCATCATTCCCGCCAGTGACAATCCCTACTTTAAAGACCAGGCTCAATTCCCAGTGCTTGAGAGCTCTGAGCTGGATCAGTACCTGAGGCAGGAGGCCCTGTCCATATACGTTTTTGATGATGAAGACTCAGAGCCAGGCTCTTACCTTGGACGAGTTCAAGTGCCCTTGCTGCCTCTTGCACAAAATAACCCTATTAAAGGTGGGTGTTCAAGGCTCTTCCAGCCTTACACTCCTCGGTGTTGTCTCTTTGTCCTGATTCTCCTTTTCTTTGATTACTCGCTTGGAACAGTCTCTCCTAAAACTTGTCCAAAGGACTTTAGGATATCGTCCAGAGCAACAGTGGAGAAGACTAGGACCTTCACTCCTCCTACAGAAACATAGCCTTCTGCTGCCTTTCAGCAGCAAATCAGGCTGCCCCTCTCTCTAAAAGAACTCTCAAACTGTAGTGCTTCCCAGTACTACTTCTTTACTTATGGCCCATGGTTTCTCAGCATGTGACCAGATACTGGTTAGAATTTAACCCTCCCTCACAATTCTTTCACTTCTGTTAGCCTTTAGACCCAAGTAAGAGAGACTTTCATGCCAGACCATAAGAAAGTGAAGTTTTTTGGATGTGGAGCTGAGCTCCACACTCTCTTACCTTATTTCGATACCCATGATTGTGAGGTGCACCTAGGAGGAGTCAACTCACTGGCTACAGCCCCAGGAGAGTGAGGCAGGGGTACCCATGCTCTCATTGGAAGTGTGGATAGGTATAGCCAGCACCAGCCATATTTACCAAGATTCTGGTGTCCCAAGAAGTGGTGAGGCCTCTCTTGTCCCAATACCACAAGTGCTAAAGAAAATTAGCCTTTAAAACCCTGACCCTTCTTGCCAGGGATTTAGCTCAGTTGGGCTGCCGCCTGCCTTGCAAGCACAAGGTCACGAGTTTCATCCCTGGTGGCAAAAAAAAAAAAAAAGAAACACAAAAACATGACCCTTCTGCCCACAACTCCTTTACCAAAGAGGACAGGCTGTGTGAACCGTCTCTTAATTAGTGTTACAATGCAGAAGTAGAAGCAAACAGACATTTTGCTAAAGTCCTTACATTTTCTTGGACCACTTGTGCATCAGTGGTGGTTTTCTTGGTTTGCCTGTGGCATCAGAAGCATTTGATGTTAGCGCTAGTGATGCAGCCTTGTGGACTGGCTGGGTGGCGGACAAGCTGTGTTCCTCACCATGCCTCTTTTGACTGTCTTCCCCTGTTGGTAGCTCACTACACTGCCATTCTGTGTTACTTCTGAGTACATCATCCACATGAATATTTCATAATGTTAATTGCTAGTAAAAGAGTTCAAGGCTAGCCTGAACTACATACAAGACCCTGACTCAAAAAAAAAAAAAAACCTAGTAAAATATGATGACATAAAAATGGGGAGAGCAGGCCATAGTGGCACACACCTATACACACACCTATAATCCCAGCACTCGGAGGCTGAGGCAGGAGGATTACTGCAAATTCAAGGCCAACCTGGGTTACACAGTGAATTCAAGATCAGCCTGAACTACATGATGAGACCCAAAAAGGGACAGAGGTTAGATAAGATGCTAATAAATGCTCACTTGTCTCATGTGATCAGGTACTATTGATGTCTATATGTCTCTCAGGTGATTTTAACCTCATTGACCCTGCGGAGAAACCCAATGGATCTATTCAGCTGAAGCTGGACTGGAAGTCTCATTACCTCCCTCCTGAGAGCTTCCTGAAACCAGAAGCTCACACTAAGGTGAATGACACCAAAGAAAGTTAGCGATCTCATCTGCAGAAATAAGGGCTTTTCTTCTCCAGATAGCAGGGCCGGGAATTTAGCTCAGCGGCTCCGCCACCTGCCTCCCAAGTGCAAGGTCCCGAGTTTGATCCCCAGTACCAAAAAAAAAAAAAAAAATTCAGAGATAGCAGATCTCTGCCATTCGTGTGGAGCAGATTTGATGGGGTCAGTTTTTAAAATTGGAGTAAATGAAATTCATTCTGCGAATGTCATATGTAATGCAAATTTAACCTGGAAGCTACTGATGGAACAGAATCCCGAGTTTTATTGTGGGGAGGAGAGAGAGCATCCCTTGGTTCTGTGGCAGGCAAGAAATGAAATCTAACCCTAGTTCACAAATCCCTTTCTTGAGTGTCAAGTTTGTTAAACTGTCATCTTGTAAGACTCTTTCCGATTCTTCTATTTAGAACTGGCTGTCATCTGCTGAGGTTCCCACTGAAGCTGACCAGTACCAAGCAAAGAGAAAACTTCCTCAGGTGGGAGCAAGGAAGGAAAAGGAGCACCAGGTTGTGAGCTACTCAAGAAGAAAACATGGCCAAAGACTAGGTGTCCAGGGAAGGAACAGACTGGAGTGTTTCAGTCGTAACATCTTAAGTGGAGACACAATACAAGTAAGAGTTCAGAAACACTAAAGAATATGGGTTGTGGTGTCTTGTCTCCACATGTGTTGTTCTCAGAGAAGGAGAAGGTGCATGAGATGGCAACAGTCATGACTATTTGTGGCTAGCATGTGTTTCCACAAGAACAGGTAGTTTCTTTCTTTCTTTTTTGTGTTTGTTTGTTTGTTTTGAGGCAAGGTCTCACTATATGGTTCAGGCTGGCCTTGAACTCACTGTGTAGCCCAGGCTGGCCTTGAACTTGTGGCAATCCACCTGCATCAGCTTCCTGAGTGCTGGGATTACAGGCGTGCGCCATCACACGGCAGCTCATGGCAAGTTTCTTGAGAGCTTGTTTGGAGGTTTTAGCAGGAGAGCGAAGCAGCCCATTTATCCTTGACCAGGAAAATGGTCCTCCTGTGTGTGGGAGGTTGTCCTGTTAGACCAGGGCACAACTTTGGGAGGACACATGCAGTGGGAGGGAAGGGGGGGACACTGCTCAGCCGGCCAGATCAGCCCAATCAACACTGGTGACAGATTTTGCAGCCAGATCGCCCTCATGTCCAAACACAAGTAGTTTCTTAAACTCCTGGACTGTCTGCTTCATTTTAGTGTGATTTAATTCAGCATATTATATACTCTAAAATTTATGCTCTGCAGTTTACCCACATAGAGAGTTTATTTTAAAATAAGTGCTAAATGTTAAAAAATTAAAGAGGTAGTATTAAGAAAGGAAACCAAGATATTACCACTTATATAGCATTTACTTATTGTGAAGCAGGTGAACTACATGGACTGGAAGTTCTCGGGGCTTAAGATCTCAAAAGATGACGGTTTTACAACTCAGTTAGAGGAAGAAGAAATGACATTATCTCATTCAGCACTGAAACAGGAAGAAACCCCACATCCTATAAATGGTACTTTCTAAAATCTAAATTTTCTGTTTAATCATTTCATTATTTTGTAAAAAGCAATTATTTATTGGCATTATCTTGCAGTGCAAAGTTTTATTGGAAAATTAATGCATAAGCCCCTAGGCCTCACTTGTGACAAGTGTGAGGGTTACCCAACCAGAAATGGAACTCTCCACGAAAGTGTATTTTGGTGCATTTATAGCTAACTTAGCTACCAAAGATTTACAAAATGTTAATTTGCTCTGGGGTCTTGTGAATTATGGTTACAAAGAAATAGGAAGATTATGATTAGCTCATTTGTGATGTTACCACTTATATGTTTATTTTTGCAGTGCTGAGGACTGAACCCAGGGTCTTTGCACTGAACTACATCCTCAGCCCTTTTAATTTATTTTATTTTATTTTTGCAACTGGGTCTCAGTGAGTCTCTTGCCCAGGCTGGGCTCAAACTTTTTTATTTTTTTTTGGTACCAGGGACTGAACCTGGGTCCTTGCACTTGCGCAGCAGGCCGCAAAACCACTGAGCTAAATCCCCAGCCCTGAGGATCAAACTTTTGATCCACCTGCCTCAGTCTCCCAGAGTGCTAGGATTTTAAGTGTATACCAACATGCCCAGCTGGTGCACAACTGTGTTGGTGCACTTGCAAGGGCTGACCCTGCCAACTGCCAGGATTCCAGACTGGCGTGGTCAGACACAAAATGCAAAACTGTGTTTACTAGCTTCATGGAGATAAAAGCCGAACTTTAAAACTCCAGGAAAGAACTAGAGCTTTGAAAGCTATTTGTTGTGGCACATGTGTGTAATCCCAGCACTCAAGAGGCTGAGTCAGAAGGATCCTCAAAAGTGTCAGGATAAATTCAATCCCCGGTACCAAAAAAAAAAAAGAATAAAGGAAGCTGAGGCAGGAGGATTGCCACAGATTTGAGTCCAGCCTGGGCTACTTAGTGAGATCCTGTTTTGAAAACAAACAACAACCAAAGAAATAAAAAGAAGAAAGAGAAAGGGAAGGGGAAGGGAAAGAAGAAAGGGAAGGGGAAGAAGAAAGAAGGAAGAAGCAGAAGAAGAAAAAGAAAAGGAGGAGGAGGAGGAAGAAGAAATAAGAGGCAGATAAGGTGGCATACACCTGTAATCCCAGCACTTGGGAGGCTGAGGTAGAAGGATCAAAAGTTTGTGCCCAGCCCAGGCAATTTAGCAATACCCTGTCTAAAAACTTTAAACATTTAAAGGGCTAAGAATGTATTGCGAAAGCTCTGGGTTCAATCTCCATTACCACAAAAAAAGGGGCAGGGTGAGGTGGCTCAATTCTTATCTAGTAAATAAAAGTCTAGTGACCAGACAGTGGGCTGGGGATATGAGTATGGCTCTTTTTCAGTGCTATACAGAGTGCTTTGGAACAGTTCTATAACCTTAGCCTCTTCTCTAGTAGATCCAGAGTCATCTGAACAGACTTCAGAAGCCAGTGAAACACAAGCCACAGACAGAGATGATGTGGTAGTGGCACCTCTATCTGAGAAGTACCCAAAGCCAGTAAGTATGCTGGAAGAATCATTGCACTGAGACAGACTATAAATAATAATAACTGGCTGCAGTGGTATAATTTCAGCTACTCGGGAGGCTGAGGCACATGGATTGCAAGTGTGAGGCCATCCTGGGCAATTCAGCAAGACCTTGTTTGAAAAATAGATACATAGATAGATAGATAGATAGCTATAGATAGATAATAGATGGATAGAGGATACATAAATGATAGGTAGATAGGCAGGTAGATTTAGATACATAACAGATATAGATAGATAATAGATAGATGATAGGTAGATGAGAGATAGATGATAGATAAAGATAGACAGAAGATAGATAGCTCACTCAGTGATAGAACACCTTTCAGTTTAATCCCAGCACCGCAAAAAAAA